ACTGTGGGTGCTGGTAGTTTTATGGGGATCCTGAGAAAATTAAGAATTATGGTCAAGTCCTGACTGGAGTAGTCTGTGACACTGTATTCTCTGAGCCAGTTGCCTTGAAGATGTTCTGGATGTTGGATAATCTGGAGACCTTGATCAAACCATATTAACCTGGAAGCAATCTACAGGTTCTCATCTTCTATGGAAACAAAAGCAGAACCCCTTTTCCAAAGCAACAAAAAATGTCCTTAGACATTGAAATCGAGATACCTTAAAAATAAACATTAATTTAACTCAGCAGCTTTTACAATCAAATGTCTCTGCAGTTAAAAATCCCAAAGACAGTGTAATCCAGACTCTGTGTGTGATTTCCATCTTTATGTGGCTTATTTTTTATATTACTTTTACTGTCTCCTTAAAGACTTTATTTTTAAAAACTATTTCTTTATATAACTATTTATCTTCCTTTTCCTCTGTCTTCTAAGCCTGCGTACATTTTTATGCACACTGTTTAGGGTTTATTCCATCTGAATCTGTCTTATTGTGAATCTATTGCTTTAAACTGTAGCATGACTAGGACTGAAATGGCAGCTTTGGCTGGTGGCTCCACCCACCTCAGCTTTCCAACATGGTAAAACTATGTTTACTGCCAGCTCTGGGGGAACCATGCTCATCACTGACTCTGTGAAGCAGTGGGTCTATGCCTCTATCAAAGCAGCATGTAGCCCAGAAGCCTTTTTTTTTTTTTTAATTCGTACTAGCAAAAGCTAAATCCACCATGTACCATGCTGTGTGGCTTTCAGGAATCTGCCATGCTGTACTCAAGCCTGTATGCTGTGAACCTGCCATACTGTAGCTCAAGCCCATACACCACAGCATCTCTGTACCTCAGTGTCTCTATATCTCGACCTGCATGAGACATGAAGTAGAAAGCTATTTTTTTTTTTTTTTGGATCCATTGTGTGTTTGTTTAAAAGCCTTTTAAAAACTCTTTTAGGCCTTATGGAAATTTGCGAGCCCATGTTGGTATGTCAAATGTAGTTAGAAGTTTTCCTGTGTCCTGTCTGGTCCTACAGCCACTCAGACCCAAGTAAACACACAGAGGTTTATATTAATTATAACTGCTTGGCCATTAGCTCAGGCTTATTACTGACATAAATTAACCCATAATGCTTATCTGTGTTTAGCCACATGGCTTGGTACCTTTTCTTTGTTCTGCCTTGTCACTTAACATTTATTACTTTGCTTTTTTTGCTGCTGATTTTTGGGTAGTCACTGATGCACACCATTAGATTTCTTCTGTCCAAGTACTTAATAGTGGCTTTTTGGGGCAGTAGTGGCACACATCTTTAATCCCAGCAGTTGGGAGGCAAAAGCACGTGGATCTCCAAGTTTGAGGATGCCTGGTCTACAGAGCAAGTTCCAGGATGGCCAGGGTACACAGAGAAACCCTGTCTAAAAACAACCAAAAACCAAAACAGAATGGCTTTTTTTTCCCTTGTTGAAATCTGATAGGCTACACTCTGGAAGCCTGTGACCTTGAGCCTTACATTTCCTACAGAATTCTTTAACAGCTCACATCCCTTCTTGATAGTTTATTATTTTTCAGGAATAAGGAACTTGGCTCAAGAGCTAATAAATTTTGTTCTAAAATCAAGATTCTAAAATGAATTCAACTGAACAAAATTACCCTGCTCAAAGTCTTAGTCTTAGCCTTAGTAAGGTTGGATATGGGGGGTGTCATTGCCATTCTCTCTATTTTGTTTCTGTTTGCCTCTTACAGAGAAATTTTATCTTCTACTTTATAAAAAGTAATATCTGAGATAGAAGAGATTTGCTACCTACTGATAGTTGTAATATCTTAAGGTCATTTAAATTCAGTATCTTAGCCAGGCATGGTGGCACCTGCTTTTAATTCCAGCACCCAGAGACAGAAACAGATGTATCTCTGTGAGTTTAAAGGGCAGTCTGGTCTATATGGTCAGTTCCAGGATGGCCAGGGCATACATAGTGAGACTCTGATTTAAAAAAAAAAAGGATCTTTCATTTCTATTTTCTAAATTGCTTAAATAACTTCTGGAGTTTTTCCTAGGCCTTGTTCTCTGAATATGCCATTAAAACAAAAACAAATCCAAGGAATAGGGTGTCCTACATTCCTGCTTTATTAGGAGGCTGCTTCTTTTAAATCAAAGATGAAGCCAAGCCTGTTATTATAATAGAAATACTGTAATAGCAACACTGACTAATTTTTTCCTTTTTTCCTGTAATTTTACCACTTCCCTCCTACTAAGAAGTACTTTAAAAAAAAACTACTTTTATGGGAAAAGTTGCAACTTTACTGAGCCCCACTCTCACCTCCTCCCACATCTAGAACCAAGTTTGTTTCCCTATGGGAACTAGATGTTATGTCTTGGATATAACTTGAGAGCCCCCCTCCCCCGAAAATTTTTTTCATGTTCTAGAACCCCCACTCCCAGAGTGGTGATGTTGTGGTGGCTGGAACTTGAAGAGATAGAGTCTAGTAGTAATGAGTTAAGTTGTAAGGGCCATCACCGCTGGAAAGGGCTTAATGCTGGTCTCCTGAAGCTAGTAAAACAGTACATTGTTAGAAAGCCACTTCCAACCTTACATTTCTAAAGCATTTTATTCCTTCTGTACATGGCTGATTCCCCTTCAGAGTCTCTGACAAGCCAGGTAATTCTCAGTAGGACTCTGGCACAATGCTGTTTAGAACCATTCAGCCATCATCCAAAAACCTTCTGCATTATAATGTACACAGCATCAAATACCTTGTAGCAACAGAAAACAGACCAACACACTGTATAACACTAGTGCACCTTTGGAAGGGAATGTTCTGAGTCTTTCACATCCCCACAAATCTTCAACATAACCTGAAGTTGACTGTCCCATTATGGCTGATTTATTTAGGAGAAACTAGGATGTGCCTCGAGTTCTCTAACTCCATCTCTATTGTGTCTCCTCAGTCAGGAGCAGAGGACAGTGGCCAAATACCATGCCTGAATTTTTTCAAAGAACAAGGCCTCAATGACTGAGCAGCTTCATGGCACTTACTATGGAGCCTCTTGGGGGACTTGTAGCTCACCTCTCTTACCTTCCTGATAGTGTTCCTTTAGCCAGTCCCACAACTACAATATTGTAGGTAGGCTATGCAGATTGCAAGGTTAGACCAAGTTCTTTGCTGATTAGCCAGGGATTGAAAGGTTTAACAAAAGATAGTGACTGTGGCAGAGAAGAAACTGATTCAGCACACCACAATAAAGCTTTGCTCTATTGTCTGAGATCCCTAAGAAGGTAAGAGCCAACCAGACTGGAACATTCCTTTATTGTTGGGATACAGCCACTTTAAATTTTGGAAGGAGATAAATTAATAATCTACCCATTTATACTTCTAGGAATTTGTTCAAACAACTTCTCTTAGTTCTTGAAACAGCCATAGCGTCACTAGGGCAACATGTGGGGGAAGTTCCACCAGCAGCTTGGCACTGTTCTTAACTGCTACTCAGCACCAAATGGGCACTTTCCTCTCCAAACATATGGTTTTGATTTTCTAACAAAAGGAATCTTAGCATACATGACATTACCACATTTGCATTTATATAGTGACTCACGTTCTCGTGAAAATACACATCTTTTTGCATTCTTCCTGAGGGCTTCCTAGTAACTCATTGGTATTCTAGTCATAGTGTAGCTTATTTAACTAGCCTTCTCATTGGGTCCTTCAATACTTACTGTGTAGGAAATCAATGGTCACACTTGCTCCTAGTCACTGACTCTGGAAAGACAGTCTACATGTTTACATCTCATCCTTGCTTCACTGTTCTGCCCCAGTGGGCCTGTGTCACACACTAAACTCTTTCCAAGGCAGTCTGCTCCTTAGCTTAGTTTATATTCTCATGAAAATATAAGGTCTGTTCACATAGAGTTTGATAACCCTAGTTGGTGGCTATAACAAATTGCCACAGGTCTGTGACTTAAAACATCAATTTAGTATTGTAGTGTTCTGGGGATCAGAAATCAAAAATGGGTCTTACTGAGTTGTGGATGCCACAGACTGCCAAGGAAAAGCCAACACTGGTGCCCAGATGGCCTCATGAGGCACTTCAACTGTTGTTCTCAACCACCCAACTGCTCACCTGTGAACTACTACCTGAGGAACAAGATAAAGACCTATCTTGTTGAAGCCAGTGGATTGGCCCATAAAATCATTTACCCTTTCTGTTTTCTAGTTTCTGACAACCCAGGGGGTTATAATTAAATGAGTTGAACAGAAGACAGAAGAGGAACACAAACACCATATCTTTTTCATGAGCAAGAAATAAGCATTTGGGTACATTTAAGTCACCGAGGTTTGGGATTTATTTGTTACCAACACTTGTATATCTACCTTGGCTTATAAAACATCCACTGACCTCCATACTACTAGTCAGAAGAGGCTAGGTTCCTATCAATGAATTAAAGGTAGAGTGACCAACATAATTCATTATACAACTGTTCCAGTGTGATTATTTTCAAGTATCTCTGGCTGAGTGGTAAATTATGTGGATGTTTATATAAAAAGAGAAAAGTACCCTGTACCACTCTTGCTTCATGGTTTGGGCTAAGCATTCTTTTCTCCAATCTCTCTGCTTACCTCATTTCAACAATCACACTGCTATATCAGGGCATTGCTGTTACTTGGATGGGTGAAGTTATGTTGTTACCAGTCCATGTTATCATCAATAACCTTTCTGATTTTTTAGTCTTGTAACTTAGTCTTGTAATTAGGTCATAAGCATGAAACCAAGGACTTGGGAGTTTTTGTTTTTCACTTGAGCTTATATAAATTCACATGCAGATAGGTGTGAGACTACAGAGATCCTGTGGACCTTTCACCTATTTCTCTTCAGTAACATCTTGTAAAATTATAGAATATTGTCATAACTAGGAAGTTAGTTGTTACAGCCCAAAGATCTTATATATTGTTTGTTCAGTTTTTCTTGCATTACTATAGATTTAGTTCTATACAATTTATTCATGCCAAGATTTGTGTCATCCAAGATACAAAACAGCCAAGTATGATCTTGCTCATTGTCATTTCTCCAAGGCCAAGCATGATCCATGGCACAAGAAGACCTCTAGTGAATAGTTGCTGAATGAATGAAATATACACTAGTGATGGTTCTAAGGCACTATAACTGAGATGCCAAACTCTGTAAGTATGAATAAGATACTTGTAACAGGCCAGAGGTAGGTTTGCAGGATAGCCATTCCACCAGTATCTGTAGTTCTATTGAATTTCCAGCTGGCATGCAAAGAAAAGGTGGTTCTTAGACCAGTAAGGGCAAGAAGTGGTATACCACAATTTTTCATACTCTTTTAGCCAGACCTTAGATACAAATATATACCAAGCTCAAGGGAAGCTAAGGTATATTTGCCTACAGTTCTTTCTCTCCTTGCTCTTTACAAGATTCACCAAGATAGATCATATGCCCTCACCTCACTAAGGTTGGGCTCTGGCCAATGGAGTGTGAGTAGAAATGATAGTGTGTCAGTTTTGGGCTGAGACCTTGGATCTCACCCAAGGATTTTGTTTCTGTTTGCAATTGGCACTGCTGCCATCCTTCATGAGTTGAGTCTCAGTTGGGTAGCCATTGGTGAAAAGAATCAGAGAAATAAATGACACAACTCTAAATTGGTCCATAGCCTGAAGCAGTGCTGCATCTGATAGCATGAGAAAATTATCAATTTTCTTTATAAGCTACTGAGATTTGAGTGCTGTTTTCCACAAGCTTAGCCCTGGATTGCAAGGTTACTTTTACTATTACACACAGGAAGAATGAACATTTGTAAACTATAAGTGCTTTATAGACATGAGAGAAGCTGCTCCCAGGACAAAGAAGAAACAACTACTTGGAGAAGATCCTTTAGGAGTTCAAAGAATAAGTGGCCAGATTGGTTGCATAATTAATGTAAGCATGCTTTCCACCTGTAATGGAGAAAGGATAGAGATTGGTCAGTCAAATGTCCAGTGACAAAGCAGGAGCACATTTGCCTAGAGGCATCTTGGGAATCAAGGCCAGGTAAATGATGGAAAACTGGGTCAAAACAAAACATTAAACCAGGTTGGGGGAAGTTTTCACATTGAGTAAAAATGTGGTGCTAACATCAGAAGCCTGAAATAAGTGCATTTAAAAATATTATGTAATTCATGTCACTAAGAGGCCTGTACCATCAATTGAAATCTACCTCTAAAGGATAATTTCTTTGGAGAGTTTCACTGCCTCCAACTTCTGCAAACTGAATGCAGCTTTTTTGTGGGAAGCAGCTCTCTGAACTACTTGCTGATTATTCTGCCAACAAGAATTTGGATATGTAGAAATGACATTGATTTTTTTTCCCTACCTGGTTAATTGCTAGAGACTAGAAAGGTAGAAAGCTCTTAAGAGCATAGCAACTTGGGTGTGAATATCTACTTTGAGGTGTATGAATTAGCCTCTCATCACATATTGGCTGCTAACATGAAACTGGCTGAAGAAAATAAGATGATTAACACATTTCTTCAAATAGGGATAGAGTCTAACTTTGACCCAGTTTCCCCTTAATACTTTATGAAAAGTATTGAACAATTAGGTATCAACAGACTGGGACTATAAATGCCTTCAACTTACATTCATATGTGCCAACATTTTACAAAATTTGAATTCCCTCTTTTCCACAAACACAATGATATATTTTTAAAACATATAGTAGATACAGCACAATGATTGCTAAAACTCTTCAATATGAACCACCTAATAAAAACAATCTTTTATAGAATTATACCACCATCACATTCAAGGAATTTAGCAATTATCCTATTAGTAACCACAACTAATATAGGAGTCCTTAAAAACTAAATCTATGTGTATGTGCATGGCACTTATGCCATAGTGCATGTGAGCATGTTAAAGGGCAAACTGAGGAAGTCACTTCTTTCTTCCCACTGTGTAGGTTCCAAGAACCCAACTTAGGTTGTCAGGCATGGTGGCATGCTCCCCTTCTGAGTCATCTCACCAGTCCCCCTAAGTCATTTTTTAAACTTTCTAATTGTCTTCTGAAGATTTTTATGGAACTTTAATCTATGATGCAACCAAGGTTTGAGGGTTCCATCTGGAGGTTAATCTGGAAAATCTCCCCCACATTTCCTTCTATATGGTTTTGACATATGGCACAGACTTGAAGAATCTGGGTAGCTAACTGGAAGGAGGCTGCATATTCTTAGCTTATCTATTGCTTTCCAGTGTTATATATGTTTTAAGTAGTATCACCTTTCAAATGAAGTCTAAAAGTTTGATTAGATTGTGTCTTAACAGTTTTTCTAAGAACACTTCATAGACACCATGCAAAGAAGCCAATAAATTGGAATCTTCCACAAGGGATATGTAATGATTAAGATTTGGTTGGGGAAGTAACTGCCATGTTTTCATGGAAAAGTGCATTTGCCTAGAAATAGAGACTGGAACAGATAATTTATATGCTAATACACTGTGAGTGGTACAATCTTATGAAATCAAGTGAGGAGAAGGGAAAAAAAGGGGGGGGGGACTACAATGAAGTCTCCTACCAAGCTGTCCATGGCTTCATAGACAGCTTGGCTGAAAGATCATGGAATTTAATGCACTGGGACTTGTGAACAGTTTTACTTGTAGTGGAATTTCAGTAGAATCATTGTATCTACGGTAAACATTAGAATGGTTGTTTTCTAGTGCTTTGACCTTGAAGAAATCATTGTAGGAAATAGTGATTGTTTTCTGTTATCTATAGTTGTTTTTCTGAAGAAGCTTACAGCCTTTGCCTGACTTTGGTCACAAGATGGTCCTGGCACACTTAAATGTCTTGCATTTTGAATACTGCAAATAGTGCATAATAAGGAGTAAAGTTGCAGGGGTGTGATGTTTTCTTTCTCAAAACAGATTAGATTAGGGGCTTTGGTATGAGGAACTTGTTTTACCCCAAAAAACAACTTTTGTGTAATAATCAATAGATATGCTCCTGCACAGCAGTTCAAGGTTCAGCACATCAAGATTTCCTCCCTGCTGCCACAGAGCCTGAGTCACATCCTGGAGCACCCTTCTTTTTTTGTTTGACCATCCCTTGTAACTCAGAACATCAACAGTTACTGTTTCTGACAAATGACTGGGGAAAGCCAGGGCTACTATGCTTCCTGTGATCCTGATCTGCTACCGCAGATCCAACCTTGGCAGGTGTAATGACAACCTTGTCAAAGGTCTATCATCTCAAGAGATAAGATAGAAGTTGGTAATGAGCATCATGTTTATCCAGGAATCAGGACCATTCTCTTCTCCCAGCCTTCCCTGCTGGCCCTTCTCCTGCACTTTGTAACTTAATTCTACTCTTGCCACTCACTGCCCTAGTTTTTTTGGAGACAGGGTTTCTCTGTGTAGCTCTGGTTGTCCTGGAACTCACTCTGTAGAACAGACTGGCTTCGAACTCACAGAGACCCACCTGCCTCCGCCTCCTGAGTGCTGGGTTTAAAGGTGTGGGCCACCATGCCCAGATTGAATTGTAGTTTGCTTTTTATTGCCATGATAAACAGCATGACCAAAAGAAACTTGGAGAGAAAAAGGTTTATTTCAGCTTATCCAGGCAGAAACTGAAACAGAAGCCATGAAGAAATATAACTTACTGACTTGCTCAGTCTGCTAATACAACCCAAAAACCACCTGTTTGGGGGTGGTACCATCCTCAGGGGGCTGGGTCTTCCCACATCAATCACCAATCAAGAAAATGCCTACAGGTTTGTCTATAGGCCAGCATGATGGGGATATTCTCTCAATTGAGAATTGAGGTTTCTTTTTCCCAGATGACCCTAGGTTGTGTCAAGCTGACAAAAAACCTAACCAGCAGTGTTACCATGTGGCAATTTTTGGAAAACTAATGCAAGGAATGATGAAATATGTTTTTGTTTGTTTGTTTGGGGAGATTTCTGACCCACAGGCTAGGCCAGTCTTCCAAGGCCCATCTATCAGTCTGCAGTTCGATATATAATTGTGAAAAGCAGCATTCTGGTTAACAGTCACACAGAGAGTCTTAAAGCAGACTGAGTAAGTCCTAGCTATGGGACTCTGATGAAGTAAAGTTTCCTCATCTCTTAATCAGAGTTGCTTTGTGCCTGGATTCATTTATAAATTTAGTATTTTCTTTAATTGACTTTCCATGTCTTCTAATATCTTATCTGCTTTTAGGATTAACATTTTCTTTAACTGAACTTCCATTTCCTCTAACTTCTTGCCAAGACCTGAAATTCTCTCTTCCATGTCTTAATTTGTTGTTGAAGCTTACCTCTAAGGTTTGTTTGACATCTTGAGTACTTACTTTCAGTTTAACTTTAGTGTGGGTTTTCTTTAGTGATTTTTATTTCTCTCTTAAATTCTACTTTCCTGTCTTGAAATTTTTTCACCATTTCATTCAACTCTTTTGTTTTACAGCCTTCATTAAAACATTTAATCATATTCTCTTCATGGTCCTCAAGCATATTCATAACTATGCTGAAGTCCTGTATTTCAGCTAAACTGCTTTCTTCAGGACCTACAACAATAAGGTTGCTAGCTTCTAGAGGAGGTATATTGTCTTGGCTCTAGGCATCTGGAGTTAGGATGGTTGAAGTGTTTCTTTGCATAGGTATCTGGTCTCCTCTTTGCTGGGTGGGTATTCTGTTTTTGCTGCTGTTGTCCACTCTGGATCCTAAGTGTGGTGGCTGTGGGGTCCCTGGCAGAATGTTTCTGTGGGTCAGCAGGTGTCACAAATGAACGGAGCTAGGCTAGCTGGGAAGGCTGAAAGGAGTATTGGGAAAGAACTAGGACCAACCTGTTCTGCACCAAGAGTAAGAGTCCCCAGAGAATGGAGGTGGGGTGGAAAGAGGGGAAGGACAAAGGATAATGACGGTCACTTGCCTGAGTCTCAGCCTACTGTGGCCACTGGGAGTCCCTGGTAGAGAGTGGTTCTGCACATTATCAGGTATTACAAAGGAATAGGGATGTCTAGAAGAGCAAACGTAACAGTTGTAGGAATCCTGTGAATTAGAAATCAATGTGTGCAAAGTCGTTCAGGATTTTCTAAAAGGCTGAGAACTATGGATTACTTACATCATATAAGTCTAAGTTAGAACGTCACCTAACAAACTAGGAATAAGTGTGAAGAAAGTAATCCCCTAGGAAGAAATGGTAAAATTATAAAATACACAGTAAAATGATACTAGGGGACAGAAAAGCAATAGTCCCTTAGTCCCTGTGTAAGTAAACTGGTGGCAAAATGTGAGTTTTGCAACTCTTTGGGTCTGGTGTCCCAGGTTTCGGCACCAAAAATATAAGTAAATTGGTTGCAACCACTCTGGGTTTGGTCCTGGATTTTGGTACCAAAACGTGAGTTTTTGCAACTCTGGGGAAAGTGTCCTGACTACCTGGGGGTCAGGTAACACCTTGAGCTGCTTAACAGCTCTGATGGCTGAACTGTAAGGAGACAGTTCAGGCCTGGAGGGCGAGGTATTCTGGACACCTTGAGCTGCTCAGAACAACAGCTCTGCCCTGAAGCTGTCCCGGACACCTGGAGCTGTTTGGCACAGCTCTGATAGCTGGAACTGCAAAGAAGTAGCCCAACTCTGGAAGGGAAATTTTTCTGACTTCTCAGGAGAGTCAGGCCTGGAACTACTTAAGCAGAGAAACGTATCCTGACTCTTTAGGAAATACCTGGTGTGATAGAAGATGGTCTCCCCGCAGGATATAGCTACCTGCTCCTCTCCTGGAGAGCCTCTACAGATGAGCTTTGCTCAGCCCCCACTTAAGGGGGCTTCCTAGCAGAGCACTGCTTCTCTGCCTAAGATGTTGCTCCTTTTGTTTCACTCTTCGAAAGGGGAAACCCTTGCAGAAATACAGCAATCTCATCCAGCTCTGGAGAAAAGTGTTACTTTTTAGTTCTCTCTCTCGTTCTCTCTCTCTCTCTCTCTCTCTCTCTCTCTCTCTCTCTCTCTCTCTCTCTCT